GGGTGAGTTCCTCCTGCTTGTTACCCATACTACGAGCGTATTGTTGAGGTTTTCATCTTAGGCACTTAACTCCCATGGAAATCAATGAAGTTCCTTATATATCCCTAGCCATATGTTTGTGCCTGTATTTATGTAGTTCAATGGTGCTCAACCTTTTGGCCTGATGGGCCAGATGAGGGGCATGGAGCTGGCCTGCAGGCTGGATTGAGCCCTGCATTCTAGGATTGGGCTCTGCACTGCCCCTGCCTGGTCCCACGCCTGGAGAGGGCTCCAAGCGCCCCTTGCCACCTCCACCTGGTCCTGTGCGCCGTGGGGAGCTCTGTGGACCAAATGACTTTGGCTAGGGACAGAAGTTACACATAAACTGGTTTAAGTGATGATTCAGCAACTGGTTTACAGCTGTAACAGAACAGGAGTTCAGTACACACAAACCAATTTCAAAATGGCTGAAACCAGTTTAATTATAATTTAATATTATTATAATTTAAATAATATAAAATGTAGTATCAGACTTAACTGATTTAGCTGAAACAGGTTTATGAAACTTCTATCCCAGACCCCTTTCTGGTTTAAGTTAAATCAGAGTCCCCCAGCATGCTTTGTAGCCCTAGGCTGGGCTATGCTGTCTGCTCCAGCAGAAAAGGGTTGGGGCAGGGTGGGGTGAGGGGGGAGGCACGGGCTGCCCCCCATAGGCAAAATCCAGCTAGGATCTGGGGCCAGAGAAGGGGGTTAAATGCTCCTTCCCCTGAATACAGAGCTGCCCTGCCTTGCCCTGCTGAACTTACTGAAAGTTACTGCTGGGTGCAACTGTGGACTACAAATCCCAGAAGCACCTGGGAGCAGGAAAAGAAAGTTATGAGCAACCCTGCAGAGTCCTGCTTCTGTAATTCTGGACTGCAAATCCCAGAGACCACGGGGGCAGCAGGAAGAGAAAGCAAACACATAGCCCATGCTGCCTAAATGCCAGAGAGCCGTGATGTAGCGCTGGCCCAAGCCACTGCAGACATACAGCTGCATTTCCTGAATCAAAAGTTAATGTGTGTCCAGTTGTTTCTCAGTTGAATCTCTGCAATATAGACTCACCTGCAAAGACTGAATTGGTTCAGTCTTGAGCTTTATGACTGTCTCTACTTAGCCATAGTATCAGGTGCTGGATATTGCCCATTGGCTGTGGGTTGAGCACCCCTGATCTAGCTGAATGCCATACCAAAAATGTGTCTATCAATAGGTAAACAAGTATGCATCTAGGTCCAAATGCAGTCCTGAATTGGTTCTATATACCCTAGTCTACAAAGGCCCTAATACAGCACCAAACCATACTCCTTCAGACTTTGTGAGCTGTCATAAAGGTCAGGCCCTTCTCCTGTGCTCTGGATGTAGTGCATGCTCTCTTCCTAGGGGATCTTTCCCTACTGTGTGACTCTCAGCTCTCAGGTTGACCATACTGATCCATAGATTCATAGATTAAGGG